GACGGCCGGCCGGGCCCTCTAGGTGTCTCACCTGCAAATGGCCCTGCAGATGACGGCCGGGCCCTACAGATGATGGCCGGGCCCTGCGAATGACGGCCGGACCCTATAGATGATGGCCGGGCCCTGCAGATGACGGCTGGGCCCTATAGATGACGGCCGGAAGATGCCATTTGTATTAAGCCTCCCGGGCCCGGGTGTCAACCCCTCGGACGGCGGTCTTTATCAAAGACGGACGCCATGCCCTGCCGTCCTTACCCACCCTGCCCGGGACGGTTGGGAACACTGGAGCAGCAGCGGCGGCAGCAGCGACGGCAGGAGGAGCAACGGCAGGAGCAGCAGAAGCACCGGCGGGACCAGCGAGAGACGCAGCGAGACCAGCGAGAGCGGCGGCAGGACCAGAGACAGCAGCGGCGGGACTAAGAAGGCCCTTTTCGAGGTCCTTGGCTTTCTTTTCTCTACGAGTGTCCCGCCATCGCCCGTACCACGTATCGGCTAACGTCAGTGCCGTATCAATAGCAGTAGTCAGCCACGAGCCATTTTTTATCATCCAACTTGCCGCTGAGAAATACAATAAGACCAAGTTAGTAAACAGGATATTTTGAAACCTCTCAATTCCTAGTACTAACCGGTACCCATTTTTGGTGTCGGTAGGGGGGGGGAGTCAAAGTGTAGAAGGGGAAAGCGTTGGAGGGGAAAGCGTTGGAGGGAAAAGTGAGGGAGGAGAAAGCGTCGGAGGGGGAAGTATTGGAGGGGAAAGTGTTGGAGGGGAAAGGGGAGCAAACAAGCTGACTTAGGGCAATTTGTATCCACCCCCAGTTTCTTCTGGTGACGCGTCCGAGGGTCGGAAGGAAGGAACAAACAAGCTGGATTCACGAGTGATGATATGTGAAGATGGTGAAATACTTTCAGAGATTAGATTATTGTATCATCTTGGCGAACTCGCTGACCCCCCCTTCATTTTTACAACCCCCTAGTTTGGTGGTCCCTCACTATTTGAGGGCTATATCCGGTTGGAGAAGAGGATACCCTCCGGTCTTTACCAGACCACTCGGGAGTCACAAAGATTCAAACCTTCATTCGTAGCCCACAACTTGTGTTACATTACACTCTATTCTCTCCTACGACCATCAGTCCGCCATCTTCCGGTACCACAACAGTCTCTACGCTTGAAAAAACGCCGACGTTCGGACGAAGGTGTGAGGATTTTACTGACAAATTGAGTACAGCACAACCCGAATCTAAAAAGATTTATTTCAAGGTGACCAAGTTCTACAAATATAACACCCTTCCCCTCCTCCACATACAAAAACTGATCCAACACTTATGATACAAAAAAAAACACAAACTTTTCCACTATGATCAGACCATCAACAGCATTAAAAATCACCTCCCACTCAAAAACCCCGCAACTCTAGAGCAATACCCCACCAATTCCGCCAATCTGCTAGCCTCCCTTTTCTGTTCCACCATCCACTTCCTCAATTCATCCCTAACGTCCTCCTCGCTCATCACGGCCTCGGGATGACACTTGAGAAACGCGTTAACCCAAGTCTGTACGAGCTCGTAGTCTCTCCGGCTCCTCAGTCGCTGGGTCATGGCCCGAACGAACGGTACCAACTCGTTTACTTGCAAACTCCTGATTTCCAGATCTGCTGTCGAGGGTGAGAGCGCTTTCAGATGGGCGAGGATGACGGTGTAGTCACCGTTGTTGCAGTCTGCTGCTTCGCGGAGGAGTTTGGTGAAGGTAGATTCACCGCTGTCCCGGCTCATGCGGAGGACGCGGGATCGCTCGGCTGTATGCTGTTGGTGTCATTGGTTATCTCTTTGGCAGCTGGCGCGAATGAACTAGATTTCACGCCGAGTGGGGGGAGGAAGAAAGGTGCTTTTTCAGGAGTCCCGGGAGCTTCCTTCGGTTTGTTTCGTTGCTACAATGGAAGGTTAGACTTGTTTATCTAGAAGCTGCGGGGCGGGGGGAAGATGAAATTACCTCAATAACGTCGAGGTTAAGCAGCGTCTGCCATCTTGGCCTTGGAACAAGAGACATTGTCAACATGTTGCTACTCAGTTGGTTTACTGTGGTGTATGTGCCGGTGCAGTCATCCTCTCCATCGCCCTGGGGATTAAGTGCAGCTTCGATGGCACTGACACCGCCTTCTCCAGAGGCGAACGGAGCAGTCATGTCCACTATGTCCTTTTCATCAAGATGTCTAGTCGGAACGTGTCTGAACAAAGTTCTATTCGTCCTATCCAACATCAACCCGAGTCAGCTCCACTACAGTTAAGTACGGGAAAACAAATCTCACCATAAGTTTATCCCAACACTATCAACGTGAGCCGTCGCCAGGAATTCTCCAGTTCCAGAAAACGCCATAGCAGTAACATCACTCTTGGTCCTAATACCATTAATTATATGCCTAGTTGGCAAATCCCAAACTCTGATAACTCTATCCGCCGAAGCGCCTAATACCCATCTTCCGTCGTTCGAAAAACAAAAGTCGCTTATCCTACCTTGCGCACCCCAAGCTCTCTTACAATCTTGTAGATTTCAATATCCACCACCTGAATGCAAAGATCATCGCAAGAAGCCGCGAGGAGATCAGAATGCCTGTGTAACCTCGCTTTAGTAATTGCACCAGAAGTACTCCAGTCGATTTCGTGGATGATAATTCCGGTATTGAAGTCCCAAAACTTGACTTTTCCATCTAGTGATGTACTAATCACGACTCGGTTTAGAGAGTCAATTACGATTCCCCTAACCGCCTTCATATGCTTCCCAATACCAGTCATGCCCAACTTCACCGGCCCAGTGCTATTTTTAAGACACTTCGCCGTGGCGGCTGATACTGGCTCAGGGAATTGACGCCTTTTAATCCCGCTCTGGATATTATACATTGCTGTCCTACCATTGCTAGAACCTATGAAACAGAAAGTCCCGCAAGACGACACACCTACGCTCCGGACAAGCCCACCATCAGTTGTTTGAGCCCAACGCCCTCTCAAAGACTTGTTCTCAAAGCTCCAGAGACTTCCGGATTTAGAGTCTCAATGACTTGTTATTATTCCTGCCAGGTCCCGTGCCGTATTTTCTGCATTCCCGGCACCACCTTCACCTGTTACAGTTGCTATACAGGTTACTGGGTTTGATGACGAAAATTCCCTATTGGCCCAAGTGCCCTTTTCACCACTTTGCGGAGGTTTCCTCGACCTCCTACCTCCGGCCTTTTCTGAGAAAACAAATGACTGTGCGTCATCTCTCATAGAATGAGCTCGGAACGAAGAATCAAGTGAGCCAGAGAGGAGGAAGTGAGAAGTGGAAGGATTCAGGAACGTTAGAGAAGTTATGGGTTTAGAGTGCCCAGACCGGGAACGTGATACACGGGGAAGCGTAGTATGTGGAGAATCGAAAATCCATTCCTAAAAATCCGTAAGTAAACGCCTTGTTAGACGAAGTAAACAAAAAACTCAAAAATACCTTTATACTATTGTCACCACCGCTCGTAACTAGGACACTCTGTCCAGCCAGCCATTCGACAACAACGCCCCCACCGAGCGGCCCATCATGAGCATTCCGCATAGTCGCTGCGATTCTACGTTTTTTCAAGTTTCACAATGTGCTGTCGCCATCATTGTGTCCAACCGCAAGCATGTTACCCCCAGAATCAGTTGCTACTCTTGATTTTCCTGCACCGACTGCCGGGTCAGTGCAGAATGAGATACTAGTAACTCGTTTCTGACCATGAGAAGTAGCAGCAATAATATCACCAGCAGAACCGCCTAGCGTAAACAGAGGCCAGTCGGCTTGTATATTATGAAGATGAACCTCACCCGTCGAAAACCCAATAGCAAGCACAGAGATAGCCGGCGTTTGCACTAAAGAAGCAATTTCTAGTGGTTCTTTCCCCGTGGAAGCTACCGGCGACAGGATGGTGTAAATCTTCTTACTAAAAAATCACAAGACATTAGCAAAGTGCAATGTAGGACACATATGGACCAATTCGCACCCAGTCTTCACATTCCAAATCTCAAGCACACTGCCCATCCTCGCGATCACCCTCTTATTCAAATACGTACTCGGGTGCACCGCAGCCGTAATCTCACCCCTATTATCCACCTCAATCTCTGTATAAACTTCCCGAGTTTCCCTCCTCCAGACGGCCATCCCCCAATCCAAGACCGTTGTAAAAAAGAACCCGTACTGGTTTTTGTTGTGGTCTTGGGCTGGGGGGTCTAAGTTCTTCTATTCCTTATCGGCCTCCCTCAAGAGGGATCTGTATCCCACGGTCGGCCTGCGATGGGTGGGTTGAGACCGCTCTACTGCTCCTTCCATCAGGCAAGGTGCACTAATCAGAATCTGTCTGGATGGCCTGGAGCGTCTATTCTGCAAATCATGTCAACAACCCCCGTGGGGATTTTCCGGGGGTATCTAGCTTGATATAAAAAAAATACCTAGGCTTGGTGCATGGGTTTTCCGGAGGTGCATCACTTGGTGAAGAATATTCTTTATAATAATAATATTATGGCAGCTTTGTGTAAAAATACAATACGACCTTGCTTGGGTTTTGCGGGGATGCCTAACTTGGTGAAAATATTCTATGGTATCATAGCTTTACGTAAAAATACGTATTAATAACTCGACATAAATATGCCCAGGCTTGGTGTGAAAATACTAATATAAGTTTTATGGGTTTTGCGGGGTGCCTAACTTGGTGAAAATATTCTATGGCAGCTTTATGTATTAATACGACTTTGCTTGGGTTTTGGTATTTAACTCGGCATAAATATCCCCAGGCTTGGTGTAAAAATAATAATGTAAGTTTTATGGGTTTTGCGGGGGTGCCTAACTTGGTGAAAAATATGCGATTGTTAGCTTTGTGCTGGGTATTGGAGTTCGTGGGATCTTGCTGGTGTCTGAGTCTGAGGCATCATGTCCGCTTCTGGTATTTTAAGTTGGCTTGGTGTGTGAAAATCTGCCCTTTGTGGGGTTTGCGAGGTTCTTCTACTTGGTGAGAAGATGTCTTCTGAGGGCATACTGAACGTCTGTTCACAGAGCCAAACCTGGCTCCAAGAGTCTGTTTACGGCTTCAAGATGCTGCTTTGGGGCTGTCCGGATCATCATCTAAGATCATAACGAGTGATATTTTATAATAAGGTCCAAAGGTAGTGCTTTAGGTGCCTTTTTGGGTTGTTCTGGGATCCTTTTTTTGATCAACACTTCAAGGCAGTTTTTGTGGTAGTATAGCCTGTTAAAGTGTCACTTGCGTCTTCAGAAACAGTTTCAGCGAGAAGAAAAAAATCGAGCAGGAAAAGGCACAGACTGGAAGCTGTGACAAGCTTTTAGAGAATTACAACAATCTCTAGTTTCTAAAAACCTCTAATCCTCCATAACGCCATAAAAATAATTAAAAAAGAAAAGAAGAGACAATTCAGCGCTTTTGGCCAGATAGTAGCCTCTCCTCACGCTCACGTTGATGTTCCACCTTAAGCTCCAGTTTGAGTACGGTGATTGCGTCCAGAATGGCAGTCTTAAGCCTGGATTCCATCCCTTGGAGCTTTTTATCAAAACCCGATCCCATCTCATCGAGCTTTTTATTAAAACCCTCTTCGACATGATGGTCATAGAACATTTTCAATACAACCTTGTCAATCTGTTTAGCCTCAGGTCATGTAGCAAAAGATTACTGATAACATACCCCAGTTAAAACTGACCCTAATGCCCATCTTACCCAAGTCTGAGATTCAGCGACCGACTTCCCAACACCTTCAATTCCACTCTCTAATCTAATAATAGACTGAGAGACAGTTAATACATTGCAAACTTGAAGAATTAGTTTTATTGTGGAAAGTACTAACCATTTCTACTCGGGTAATACGATTAGCTAAAATAGGGGTCCTCAAACCTCGGACAGGATTTGGGTGGGTTCGGGACAGGTTGACTTGCCACCAAATAACTGCCAATAAGATTTACGTACTGGACAACAGGTTTGAGGATCCTGCATGGAGGATGGAAAACCATAGATGGGTTGAGAATCTGCATATAGTTAGAGGTAACACTAGGAGATATTTTAAGTTGGTGTGAGTGACGTAAGGGTGCTGGTGATAAGAACCAAAATATTTGTAGGAAAGAAGGACTTGATAGCAACCGAATACTTCAGAATTGAAAGATGCCAAAGGTTACAAAGCGAAAGCAACTGATTCGAATTTTGGAAGTATGGAAAAGGATTCAGGAATGGGAGATAGATCTGGATGAATACGTACCAAATAGAACATACGATACCTACCTCAAGGAAACCGAACGCGAGAATTATGAACAGAGAACAGAGGAAATTGATGGTGAGGAGGAAGAAATAGCTGGCGAGTATAATGGTATGCTCGACTATGAGTTGTCAGTGGAAGAGGAATTGGCAGAGAATTCTGAACTGGGTTGGGATCCTACTGTGCTTGACAGGACAAATGCAGCAAAGGGAAGGTCAGCTGGGGGCTGCAGAGAGTCTGAAATCATTGAAGCTATAGGAAGGCTCAAAGCAAAGCGGTATATGGAAAAGAGAGAACGAATTCCACCCATTGTTTCAATTGATAAATGGTTTGAGCAAGAGCGCTTACAGTCTGAAAGGGCTTTTCGTACAACATTTCGCATGGGTCAAGCTGCATTCTTCTATCTCGTTTCTCGAATCGAGACACATCCAGTATTTTCAAATCAGTCACAGTATCATCAAACATCAGTTCAGTACCAACTCGCCGTATTCTTAAAACGAATAGGAAGTAAGGGAATAGGTGGATCCCATTGGGATATAGCTTTAGGAGTTGGTGTTGGAGAAGGAACTATTTTACTTTTTTGTGAACGAGTTTTGACTGCATTACTAGCATTACGCATGGAGTTTATTTGCTGGCCATCAGAAGACGAAAGGAAGAGGCATAGTAAGCATGTCTGTGAGGCTAGTCTTGGTGTCTTTCCAGGTGTTGTTGGCTTCGTCGATGGGACTTTTATTATCTTGGACTCAGCACCATTAACCGACTGGTACTCATACTATAACTGCAAATCAACATATGGTATAAATGCAATGGCTGTTTGCAACGACCATCGACGTATTATTTACCTTCGAGTTGGTGATACCAGTGCTGTCCATGATGCACGTGTTTTTGAACAATCTCAGCTCTCCCTATATCCCTCATGTTTTTTTAGTTCAACTGAATATCTACTTGGAGATACAGCATATACGGTTAACGATAAAATGATTACTCCCTATAAGCAACCTCGTGGAAAGGGATTCAATGAGCAAATATTTAATGCAACATTAAGTGCTCGGCGTGTGGTTATTGAGAATACCTTTGGACTTTTAAAGGCACGTTTTCCTGGTGTCACAAAGGTTTCCATTAAGATACGGGATCAGAATACCCATGAGCGAGTGGTGCGTTATTTTGAAGCTGCCTGTATTTTACATAACTATTTGCTCGAAGAAGATGGTGAGGACAAATGGGAGGTTCCAGAGGACCTTGAGTATGCTCGAAGACATCAAATGATGGTGGAAAATATTTTTATCGAGCGTGAACTATTACGGCAAGGGACAAGGATAAAGAGGAAAGATGATGAGCTGCGTGAAAGTTTATTCACCCACATGGTACAGAATATTCTATGAATAGTTCTGTTATATTGACCGGTTAGTACTACAAGCCTTGATACTGATATTGGAAATATATTTTGCTTATTTTATTCCACGATTTCATACATAAAACCAGTATACAACTCATAAGCCTGAGCTGAGAAAAACCTATTACTCCGGTCTCTGAATCTTTCTGACCGTCACCCCTTCCATACTCCTCCACACTCTTTCGTACTCTTTCATGCTCTCTGGTACTCCCCAGCACCCCCAGCACCCCCAGTACCCCCAGCACCCCCAGCACCCCC